GGAGGCCCATGGGAACAGCAGGACTTGGCCTGGGCCCTAAACAAAAATCAGGCCTTAGCAGTGACAAGAGAGATCAGAGGTTGTGGAAACACAATGAGTGTAGAGGTGGAAAAATACACGGGAGTGTTCTCGTGGCTTGTGTATAAAAGTCCCAGGAAGTAGGATGTCGTGGGAAGGAGATTGGTAGGTGGGAGTGAGATTGCCAGTCATCGGATCGCCTTGGTAATCAGACTAAGAATTTAGGGTTTGGTGCTAGAACTTCTGAAAGTTTTTGTTTGGGAGGGTGATGCTTGCAAAGTAGTATTTAGGAAGCTTGAGTTGACAGCCATTTTCAAGTTGGATTAAGTAAAATAGGACTAGAACAACGAACATGAGTTAGGAAAAGCCTGCAGTAGTTCAGGGAATGGGGCATAATAGATTAAACAGAAGTAGGTTGAGCCTTGGGTTAAGCTAATGAATTCGATTTTATAAAACCTTTTTTTCCTTCTACAGCGTCATCTTCCATTTAATTTCTAGCTACGTTGAGACCTTTCAAGAAAGTGTAATTATGTTATGAGGTTTAAGAAGACAGCGTATACCATGTAGAAGTGGTGTTTAGGTTTTTCCTATCACTTTTTGAGATCATATGGGGCATTTGTACACGCAGCATGTTTTCTAATTGATATTCTTCCTTGTGTCTTAGGCTTTTAAAGATCTATAGTGGAAACTTTAAAGGAGTGGTTGCTTTGAGACCATTAAATGGGTGAATATAACTAACCATTATTATGCTTTCTTGCACCAGGAGCATTTAGGAAGAATGGAATCCAGGTGCAGCACTTGCCTTATTGGTGGCAAGTGAGGGAGACAGAGGCTAGATGAAGGCACAGAGGGATTCTGAAATGGAGATGAGTGAGATTTATGTGCTACACTTGAAAATCAGGCTCGTTACTTTATAATCATTTTCAACCATTGAGTGGTATTAATATTATCTGTATGATCATTCACTGAGTAACAATATTTGGCCCTGAATTACTTTTGTCTGTTTCCAGAAGTAAAATGGACTTGGGAAGAGCACAGGTTTTTCACCACCAAAGATACTAAAAGGAATGTGCTACAGTTTCTAAAGCAGTTTTAAAAGATAATTTTAAACTCTTTTGTATTTCTAAGAGCTAACCTGGGCCTGGCATACATTAAGCATAATAAATGTTTGTTTTTAAAAATAGTGAACTGTATCATAGATTGTAATTTTAAAGCTCATTAGTTTAAATGATGAACTGAATCTCCTGGTTATCAAGCATTTAATGAATTCTGGAAGTCTATATGATGATAAAAGCAGCTGCTACTTGTTGAGCATTTACTATAGGCTAGGCACTAGGAGTTTTACACACATTACCTCTCATAGTCCTCCAACCACCTAGTAAAAGTAGTTACTTTATTTTACTCTAGTTTACAGAAGATGAGACTGTGGCTCAGAAAGTTAAATAAGGAGACATTACTGATAAGCTGTGTGTTGATTAAGCAGGTCAAAGTAATTCATTCAGTGTTTAGGTTTTGCAGTTAGGTGACAAATTTCAACTGCCTTAGCAGTATGATACTTCATCCTCTCAGCATTGTGTTATATATTACTCCATAATTTAAACAACCTGTTAAGTGACACATGCTCTCTTTGAGAGGTATATGATCTCAGAAGACTAAGGAAGATTAGTTGTACTTGTTTACCTCCTTTACTTGGCTATAGGTCTTCCCTTGGCCACTAACCCTACACCTGGTTACCATTTCCTCTGAAATTTGTAGAAACTACTCCTTAGGCAGTTTGGTTTTGCCTTCCCTTCATCCCTGCGCAATTCTGAAGAACCATTAGACCCAAGAACCATTAGACCCAGTGCTATTCTATTTTTGAGCATCAGGCGAGATGTATTTAAGGTAGAATGATTCTGTTGGTCTTGTGTGAGAGTCATGAATGCTGAACAGCCTTAACTTGGTTTCTAAGAGCTGCTGATCTATGGGCGACCAGTGTATGTAACCCTAATAGCTAGAAGATCCAGTAAGTTTGCTGGGACCCGTTTTCTCAAGAGAGGTGCGAACTGTGAGGTAAGATGACAAACAGTATCGTTAATGACGTTTAACATTTTACATCAGCTTTGCTGGCATAGATGAAGCAAAGTGAAATTTTAAAAAGTGGAATTTTTTAGTTTGGGATATTATCAAGACAATATAGTTGCCCTTCAGTATCCATAGGTTCCAGGGCCCTCTTCCCCATACCAAAATCCAAAGATGCTCAAATCCTTTATATAAAATGGTATAGTATTGGCATGTAACTATGCACATGCTCCCACACACTTTACATCATCTCTAGATTACTTATAATACCTCATACAATGTAAATGCTATTAAATAGTTGTCACACTGTATTGTTTAGGAAATAATGACAAGAAAAAAGTCTGAACATGTTCAGTACAGACACAACCATCGCAGGCCTAACTACATTTTTGATCAGAGGTTTGTTGAATCCGTGAATGTGGAACCCATGAATATGGAGAGCCAACTGTAATTAATTCTCCGGAGTATCTAAAACTTGTGAGAAATATGACTAGCATATAGATGTTCTGAAATGTCAGCTATCTTAGAGTTATGCAATGCTTTAGGGAGTTATGAAATATCTGATGTTTTGGAAGATGAGCCATTTCTGTAATACATGAAAAAATGTATTATTAATACATGTTTAGAGACAAAAACAGCAAAGCACCTCCACCCAAGGAATAAGTAGAAGACAGCACTCATTGAAAGTACATTCTCGATGAGAAGACAAAGTAGGGCAAGGCATGGGAAACCCTTTTCCCTCTTCCCTTTTTTGCCCAGATTCCTTTTTCTGTTCACTATGAGAAAATAACAACAAAAATTCACCCATCCTTCCATCAGCCGTGTCATCTCTTTTGAGTGCTTCGTCTATTTGCAAGCGACAACTCGAGTCTTGAGCACGTGTGGTTCAGTAGACAGATCGAATGAGGTATTGGGTTTTGATCCTGGCTTTAAATAGCAACAATGTTCTTAAAATCATATCAACAATGAAAATCATTATAACTGGTGCTTTAAAAAATCAGAATTTTGAAGTTATATTACTTTCGAATTTTCAAAGGATAATCAAACATATATGTTATTAATGCCTCTAAAATTATTCTTTCATATCCTTATATATTTTTACAAGTAAAGCTACTTCAAAACCCTTTTTTATCCTGCTTTCCATCAGGCATTATTTGAATCTCACTCTTTTGTCCTTTCATTTCACTTTGATCTTCAGAATTGAATTTTGATATTCTTTGGTCTTCCTCACCTCATGTATAATTTCATGTAATTGTTTTTCTTTTCTCTCCTTCCCTACCATTCATACCACCTGTTTCCTATCTACTACTTGTATTATTAGCTATTTAATTAAATTTTTTTCCTAGTCTATTCTCTGCTACTTTTAATTGCCTTTATTATATTTTAATGGTTTTGTTTTTCTAATGTGCACATTGAATATCGATCAACATTTACCTATTTTAAAGGTAAATTTAAAACATTCAAAGAATGAGAATTATAATTTCATTGTATACTTGAAGTTTTGTCCATTAAAAAATTCTAGGAACATAAAATATCTTTAAACACATCTTTCTTTTCAGGGTGATGTTGCAAATGAAGTGGAGACTGAACAAATACTCTGTGATGCTTCCGTGATGTCTTTTACTGCAGGAAGTTATTCTTCTTACGTACAAGTTAGAGGATCAGTTCCCTTATACTGGTCTCAGGACATTTCCACTATGATGCCGAAACCACCTATCACATGTGCGTGGAACAGTCTTTTTAATAGTAACTCTTCTGTACTCACATGTGAGATAATGTGCTGTTGTCACAGAAGTCTCGTAAATGCTC